TACCCAGAGGAATGGAAATCATCATGCCAAAGGGATACCTGTACTTCAGTGTTTATTGCAGTTCTATTTACAAGAGCCAAGAGTTGGAACCAGCTCAAATGTCCATCATCAGATGAGTAGAGTAGATAAGGAAACTGGTATATCTACACAATGGAATTCTACTCTGCTATAAAAAAGAATGAAATACTACCATTTGCAACAACATGGATGGACTTAGAGAAAATTTATTAAGTGAAACAAGTCAGGCACAGAAAGAGAAATACCCCATGTTCTCAATTATTTGTGGGAGCTAAAAATAAGTAAACTCAAACAAAAGGGGGGGAAGAAGACAAAACAATCACAACAATTCCTTGAACTTGTTAAGACANTGTTTTTTTGCTGTAAAGTTGTTTGAGTTCCTTGTATATTCTGGATATTAACCCTTTGTCATATGTATGTTTTGCAAATATTTTACCCCCCCCGTTGGTTGTCTTATCACTCTGTTTCTTTTGCTGTGCAGAAGCTTTTTAGTTTGATGTAATCCCATTTGTTTATTTTTCCTTTAGTTGCCTATGCTTTGGGGGTCATATTCATGAAGTCTGTACCCACTCCTTCCTGGAGTGTTTCCCCTATGTTTTCTTTAAAAAGTTGTATTGTTTCAGGATGTATATTTAATTTTTTAATCCATTTTGAGTTGATTTTGGTATATGGTGAGAGGTACGGGTCTGGTTTCATTCTCCTACATATGGATATCCAGTTTTCCCAGCACCATTTGCTGAAGAGGCAGTTTCTTCCCCAGTGTGCAGATGTGGTGCCTTTGTCAAAGATTAGATGGCTGTAGGTGTATGAGTTGATTTCTTGGTTCTCTATTCTATCCCATTGATCCTTGTGTCTGTTTTTATGCCAGTACCATGCCATTTTTATTATAGCTTTATAATATAGTTTAAAGCCAGGTAGTATTATGCCTCCAGCTTTATTTTTTGCTCAGGATTTCTTTGGCTATGTGTGGTCTTTTGTTCTTCCATATAAATGTCTGGATAAATTTTTCCATTTCTGAGAAAAATATCATTGGGATTTTGATGGGGATTGCATTGAATCTGTAGATCACTTTGGGTAAT